ACGTACACGGTAGCCGGGCACCTAGTCTGAGTGTCTACGTACACGGTAGCCGGGCACCTAGTCTGAGTGTCTACGTACACGGTAGCCGGGCACCTAGTCTGAGTGTCTACGTACACGGTAGCCGGGCACCTAGTCTGAGTGTCTACGTACAAGGTAGCCGGGCACCTAGTCTGAGTGTCTACGTACAAGGTAGCCGGGCACCTAGTCTGAGTGTCTACGTACAAGGTAACCGGGCACCTAGTCTGAGTGTCTACGTACAAGGTAACCGGGCACCTAGTCTGAGTATCTACGTACACGGTAACCGGAATGAAAATAAATCAACATTTGTCCTGTGCTGTCAGTTGCTGGATGCTTGCTGGAAAAAAAAGAAAGTCATACAAGCGTCTTGTCAGGCTCGCCATCGTGACCGGTCAATGAACCCCTGCGTGCGTATCACATTGTGAGTACCAGTTGGGGTCACCAAAGTTCATTTGAAGTCTGTGCGCTGCGAAGTATGGCGCTCCGGAATGGGGATATTTTATTGATTTTTTTTAAAGGTACAGTCGAGGGAGGGGTGGGGTGGAAGGCAACACCGAATGACAAAAACTGAACTTGGAGTTTTGAATTGCTGGGTTACCGTGTACGTGACACTGAGACTACGTGCCCGGTTGCCGGTTACCGTGTATACATAGACGCTCCATTCCAAACGCTCTAAAATCTACTAGATATAGATCTAGAGACTTCACCAATTGAAAGTTATATATTTGAAGGACAAATGAATTGAAAAGTTCAAAAGATCATGGAATGTTTATTGAAAAAAAGTTCAACAAGTTTAGTCATAAGAAACAAAAACAAATTGAAATAATATTTCAATGCAAATTCAGTAAATCATCATGGCACACAAGCATGCATACACAGTCAAGACTTACAACTAGGCTACTCATCATCATACTCATTTATTCCACAATATGACCAGTATCGAAAATCCACACAAGCATGCATCACACACAAAATCAAGCGCTCCCAACGGCTCGTCATCCAATACTAACCAATCTATACTTGCCACACACCTCTAATGATACCACTTAAGACACTTGTTGCACCCCACCCAATCTTGACTTTCAGACCTCTCGTACTTACGCACAGAAGAATTGTAAATGGGCTGATTCTTCCATGTCATGCTCATTACTGTGCCTGAACTGCAACAGGGATTTTCTGCCTTTTCTTTCCTAATCCTTACTATCGTCATTTTGCCTCTACTTCTTTTGTATGTTTATCACACTCTTGAGTCCCGCTATTTCTGTGGTGCCTTGATAGTCGAAGCAGACTTTGTGCTGTTGAAGCTGGAGAGGTGAGCAGAGTAAGCCTGATATCCTGTAAGGACTTCTCTGTTGACATCCACCCCTTAGTGCTCATATGACCTTATGCAGTTGTGAGCGCTGTAAAACACTTACCAAAACCATACCAAAACATATACATATGTACAACACTACAGTGGAAACCTGATATAACAGGGGTGGTGGGACCAGAGAAAAAGTCCCAGTCCTGTTATGTCAGATCCCTGTTAAATAAGAAAACCAAGGGAAGTAATCATTGGTGGACTAATCCAGGTGTATTAGGAATAGATCGAAGTCTGCAGCACACCGCTGCCCTCTCTTGCTTCACCCTCTGCATGTGCTAGCAGTGGCGTGACTTACGAAAGCTTGCTCCATCACTGTCTCTCTCTCTCTCTCTCTCTCTCTCTCTCTCTCTCTCTCTCTCTCTCTCTCTCTCTCTCTCTCTCTCTCTCTCTCTCTCTTACTTTTTAGACGAACCTTTGTCCCTGCTATAACCGATTGGGCCGTTTTCCCTTCTAATTTATCCCTAAGACTGCAAACACAGTGGATCCGGCGGGCGGGCGTTTTCTGCACGAATCGTGAGTTGACCTTTATGGCCCAACGCCTCGTTAACGGAAAGTACAGTACGTCTTCTTTATTGCTGCCAAAATATGTGTTTGCGCCACAGTGGTTACCTGGCGTCTGTTTCACGTCTGCCCCTTTCCGATTGTGAAAAATTCTTGCCCTTGTTTCGCTAAAATCATTGACCCTTGTGAAAGAAGAGGTGCAAAAGCGGCTAGCTCTATTTGACAAGACAAACGACAATTATTGCAACAGAGCGTATATTTGAATAAGCAATGGACTGAGATTGGAGAAAAGATAAATTTGGATGGTAAGTGGCATTGTTTTTAATACTTTTTCATTCTGTCTGTCTGTCTGCCTGTCTGTCACCCAATCACTCTCTCTCTCTCTCTCTCTCTCTCTCTCTCTCTCTCTCTCTCTCTCTCTCTCTCTCTCTCTTTCTCTCTCTCTCTCTCTCAGGGGCGAAGGCTGACTTGTTTGACAGGGTAATCAAAGTGAAATGGGACCAGATATGGCCTGTAGATATCACACAAGAATCTTACTCGAGGCGGCGACTCTGAGTTGTGAATGAAAACAAATCCGGAATTCATATTGTAGGTTCAACCGCCAAAATAATCGGGAAAGTATCTTATTAAATATCAGTTCCCACTAAAATTAAACTTAACTTTAGATGTGAATACATAAACACAAAGCAAAGAAGCAGAGATGTCAGTACTAGATCTATATGTTATAGATCTACCAGTGAGTCTAACTCTTTGGTAGAACATGACAATTATTATTTTTTTAATTTCACATTTGGCTTTTTTTGTTAGCCTTTCGCGGCCAGGAGCTGGTGTCATAATCGAGGTCACGATCTGATTATAGGACGGTAAAAAGTCGAGGAAAAAAAACAAGCACAAGCAGCAGTCAAGAGATTATTAAGAGTTAGTTCCCCTCACATTTGTGAGGTAGACTCGACCAGTGTTAGTTAGCTTACTTAATCAGGGCTTGTGATTGATTTTAACTGTGGCCCCAAAGGGGTGAACAGGGTATATGTGGCAATGAAACAGCTTTGACTGCCATGCACATGTTCCCTTCAACTTTATTCCAGCCTCACTTTAAGCTTACTTAATCACAAAGCTTGCGACTGCTTATGGAGTGGCCCGAGAGGGGTGAGGAGGCTATTTCTGTGGCCGTGAAACCGTTTTGAATGTTAGGCATACTGTTCGTTGTTGGTTACGAACGTCTTTTTACATTTAATTTATGAGGTTTACGTTTAAGGATGAATTTGACAGCAACAATGACAATGTTTCAAAATTAGAAAGGGAAGCAGTGATTATTTGATTATATAGACGCTTCGCCCCTGCTCTCTCTCTCTCGCTCTCTCTCTCTCTCTCTCTCTCTCTCTCTCTCTCTCTCTCTCTCTCTCTCTCTCTCGACTGGGGCATCACGTACACTAGGCTACACCCCTCTCCTTTGTTTTAGTCGTAACACGCGTGATACCATGGCCCACTGTGTTTGTACCTCACCGAACAAAAACGAACCGAGCAGAAAACGCCCGCCCGCCGGATCCACTGTGTTTGCAGTCTTAGGGTTGTTCAAAGTACCCAGAATTCTCGAACAGCCTTTCTCAAGACCATTCCACCCTTGACAGCCTTTGTAATGTTTTATTTATGGCACTCGCAACACAATAATGCCATATAAGTGCCTAGATTAGAGGTGTTATAAGAGAGCAACAAACGCAAAAAGAAGGAGAGAAGGACGATAAACATTTAATAGGAAAGAAGGAACAAACCACTCCAGGGCACCTTCCAACATCCACTATTTGAGTTAGTGCCCTGAAATCAATATTATGCCTTACATATAGATCTAGAGTAGATCTAGATCTAGGCTAAATATTAACAAAGTGTAGATAAACAAGACATATTAATTTTGGCTTTATACATTGGCCTATTTGGTAATACATTGTATTTCGTTCCTAGAAATAAAATAAGGGAATTCCTAAAACTAGCATGAATGTGTAATCGCTGAGAGCCCTTAACTATGGCTACACGTTGGCTTATTTGTCCATAATTCGTTTCTAGAAATAAAATAAGCATGGCTGGACGACGATTCTGGTCCAATTTTTATGGTTTGGTCCACCCGCCCAACCCAATCCATATCGGTTTGCTCTATCCGCCCATCCCGGGCGGGATGGCCAAACCCTTTCCCAAAACAGTCCGTGCTGTCCGCCCACCCCTTCAATCTGCCCAACGGGGCAACCACTGTCACGGGGATCCCTGGAATGCATGACTCATGCTTTTCTATAGCCCAAAATAACATTCATTTGCATATTTAGCAATTCACGCATGCGCTACCTGCTAGAGCTTGCCACGTGATAATAACAGTGTGAGATAACAAAATGGCAGACTTACCAGGAGTAGAAAGTCGTCTCAGCTCTGGTTCGCAAAATAACGGCAAAATCAGCCGAGGATTCACCGGCAAGATACCGGACTTAATGAAATGATTGAAATTATTCATTATTCAATGAATGCAATCAACGAAACGAAAAATAGGGTCATTAATATTCATTATTTTGATGTCGGGCGGGTTGTCTAGATTGTGTATACCAACAATAATCGGGAACATACTGATTTGCACAGTTCAGTTTCTTCACCCTCCCCCATGTTTTTACATTATAGGTTTTTTCTTTTACCCTGCACGCACCAAATGAACGACTTGGTGTCCATTTGTTTCTCTTTTTCTCTTGTCCATTTGTTTCTCTTTTTCTCTTGTCCATTTGTTTTTCTTTTTCTCTACTGAAATTGACATTCCATTTTATCATCAGTTATTCTTTTATGTTTTAAGAAAACAACGAGAAGAAAAAGCGAGCGCCGGGCAATCAAAGGTAAGTGAGCGACACCTCCCTGTATTTGGTTGTCTCTCTTAGGCCGGTGCCACACTACAACGCTTTAGTTGATGAACTGAATAGTTGAAACTATGTTGTCGAGTTGAGGTACTCTGAGCCCTACATCACCATGATTCAACAGTTGGTCAATATTGTCCAATCGTAGTACATTTTTTTGTCATTGCAACATGGACGCGACAGAGGTTGCTAGTGTTTGTTGTGCTTTGATATTTTCCATTCGGAAAAAGAAGTATCGAAAGGAATTTTGGGTTCATCCTAGCTATTTTATAAACTTATTTGAATTTGGTCAACAACAAAAAGTTGTAGTGCGGTACCGGTCTTAATCACCTGAGAGCAATGAATTGCAATTTGATTTATTATTCTTTCTCTATTCATTGTTTTCAACCCTCATATGAACAAACAAAATGAATAAGCTAACAAAAGCAAAGACAATAACAACAGTTACAGTTTCAACAACACCCGCTTTTATTCGAAAAAAGAAAACGTGAAAAAAATCCAAAACAACAGCCTGCAGCTAAAATTTCTGTCTACTGCGAGGGAGAGGTACATTGTTATTTGGGTCAAATTTTATTTGAAACTCTTATTCTTAAAAAAAATAATCTCTCACAAAATGTCATGACAACCAGGATTTAGCCCCACGGAGAGTAAGCACCCCATATTTTGTATCACACCTATAAATTTGTGCTCCTTCTTTCTTTTGTTCATTTTCCGAATACTCGAGGAGCATTTTGACTCATGAGACTGTAACTCATTCGTGTGTCAAGTAGGGCGATACAATTAGAGAAACATAATTAAAATCCACCTTTTTTGTATATTATTATATTCTCTTCAAAGTATAATCCTTTGTTTGTTGTCAGATTCGACTTACTTTGAATTGATTTTTCTTGCTTTTTCTCCTCTTTTAGTTGGCGTTTATGTTTCTTGTAATTCTTGTTTCGGGCACTACTAGGGCCGACTTGTTAATTTTTCCTATGTTGCTTCTATCTGTCCATTTAGCGTTTTCTCCTACGCTAAATGATGATTATCGTGTCCACATGCTTTCTTTACTTAAACAGCAGATCAAAATGCTGTTGTCGTCATTGTTGCTTTCATCTTACCACGAATTATAAATAGCCCTTGATTTGAACGAAACCTGATGAAGGAGACGCATCCTCCTCTTCATCTTTCTCTTCCTCCTCCTCCTCCTCCTCCTCCTCCTCCTCC